TATACTATATATACTATATATATATATATATATATATATATATATATATATTTGGGAGCAAAGGATAGGTAGGACAGGAGGAGCACGTCCCGTGATTTTAAGAGGAAGGAAGGAAAACGGAAACTCTCCGTCCGCTTGTTACGTACTATCGTAGCTGAAATCACCTGTAGGGGTCGAAAAGCTGATGGATATCAACCAGACTAATCGCAAGACACCGAAGACTGTGACGCTACTGCATGTTAGGCCGCGACTGACGTCTGGGATATATAGCAGCAGAACTACAAACATTGCTCCTAAGAGGAAGACGCCGACCAGCGTGATCCTCACCCTCAGCGGCATCTTGAGGCCGAGAAAGATCCAGAACGGCAAGGCCAGGACCAGGACGTCGGTGAAGATCGTCAAGGACGCGGTCGCGACGTAGAAGGTGGCGGTGTCGATACACGTGCCCTGCAGGGTGGGATCGCGCATGCGCCGCCAGAAGAAGGACACGGGCCGGCACTGGAAGACGACGGTGGTGAAGATGGAGACGGCCAGCGCGATGTTGAAGACGTTGAGGGCTAGGATCGTGTACCAGAGCTCGGGCTTGTGGCCGCCCAGCCGCACCATGAAGACGAGGATGGAGCTCTTGACGATGGCCAGGATCGGGTTGTAGAGGATCTGGCCGATGAAGTTCCACTTCATCCCGAGGCTGCGGTCGGCGGTTAGGGGGATGTCTTGAACGTGGATCCCGAGGAAGGTCGTTCGTAAACCTGATGGGGGAGAGTTAGAAGATGGATCTCGGATCGTTTGGGGGGTTTTTTTCCTTTCTTCTCTTTATGGTTTCCTTTTCTCCAGAACTTGATATAGGCGAAGCAAGGCGAACACTTACCAAAATACCCAGCGACAGTTTCTGCCACGGAGAAAGCCTAGATAGATGTTTTAGTAAGTGGAGTCGACACTATTTCCAGAGACAGGGGAGCTGACCATTGCGAGGACTATCAGACCGTCGTCTGGCATTGGCGTCAGCGGACTATCTCTCCTCTGGGTCACGACAAGATCCTCCTTCTGCGTATTGACGGGATGGCAGAAACACAAGAAGGCACTTACCCCAGCCGAGCTGCTTCATCTTCCGCCGTCCGTATATCCTCATGCATACGACCAGGAGCGCTATGGTCGGGAGAATGAAGATGATGGCGATGCCAGCCTGCTGTAACGATGTTGTCGGGAAGCGCTCTGGGTTCCTACGCAACGCCACCACGATATCCTCGGCTTCGGCCTGTTGTCGACTGGAGATGAAAGCGCGCACGGCGGCGTCCGTCTGCTCGAGGGGACGCAGGTCCATGGCTGCTACCAGCCGATCGATGGCGCCAGTGTTTTCCTGCTGTCGTTGCTTGATGTTCGCGACGCCAGCAATCCCAGATCGATCATTGGCCGGCCCGTCACAACAGGCTGCCGAAGACCCAGCAGAGGATTTTGCGTGAATGTATACATAAAACTGAGGCTCTCCTCTTGTGGGGGTACACCAGCTTATACCATATTGCGGAGACAACATCGCATGCGCCTGGGAGCGTCGAAGAAACGGCTGGCGGTATGATGGGCTCATCCTGGAAATTTCTGGCTTCAAGCATGGTCACCTCGTACTCTACTGGCATATTGATTGGGCACTCGGCTTTCTGGGACTTGCGACCTCAGACGGTTAGGCATCGCCCTCGTCTGAAATCCGGGGGGAGGGGGGGAGGGTAACGAACGGCATCGTAACTTCCGTGGTGCAGAAAGAGGAGGGGGAGAGAGTCTCATCTCATACCCCAGAGGTTGTCAACAATTGGCATCTTGGAAATACATGAAGCTCGACCCCGATGACAAATTCAAGAATATTTCGAGCTGCTCGGATACGAGATAACCGGGCTAACACCCTCTGCCTTCCTTCCTAGTCTCGCTCGGAACTGGCATGTCTTGGCGCTTTGCGAACGTGTTTGAGTACGTGAAGGGATTGCTTCGGGCATATCTGACACCTTCTGGAATGAATACGAAAGCTTCTTTCTACCTCTTCGCTTCCCCGGTTTAAAGTGTGCGATCGAGTCAGTGCTAAATATCAACCAGGAATACATCCCAAAGTCACCTCGTCTACGCTGATCTCTCCAGAAGTAGGCGTTAGCGATCATAGAAGATCTCCCTCGCAAAGCAAATGCCCATTCGTTGGTGGCAACTTGACTTCGCCCCTCATAAACATCAGAATGATTATTGGAAGGTGGATTGAAGAGGGCCGTCGTCTGATAACTCTTTCCCAGCGCCGTTTCCGAGGTGTTTTCAATTCCGAATGCGGAAAAAGTCGCGGTTGGTAAGATTTTTTTTTCATTGAAACCTCGGTTTGGAACTCGCTGTTTTCTCGGAGCTGACCTAGGAGAGTGCTCCGTGGGAACTGGAGAATAGCAGTCCCGATTTCGGGGATATGTTTATTTATCTTGACCCACCGAACCGTAGTTTCATCGCTAAAGCTCGCTTAAATCCTCTGCTACAAGGAAAGCATCGAGCGGAAAGAGGTACCAACAAGTTCTCATATAGGAGCCAATTCCAAGAAACATTGCGAAAGCACTTCTGAGATTCCTATTCCTAGGGTCCGTTTGCCACGTTTCCATCCGACGCGATTTTATCGGCCGCCACCTAAAACAGCAGTGGAACCGGTAAATTCATCCGATTCTCCCTCGACAGGCTGGCAACACTTCACAAACATCCATGAGCAGAGCACCGCCACATTCTCTGACGGAGAAAAACTTCCGCCGCACCGAGAAGGCTTGAGAGTGGCAAGCGACAGACACAGCTGCGTAGCGGCATGCGGAATCTGTCCCTACCCCTAGTTCTTCATCGCTCTATTCAGGTTTCAGTTTTTGTTCCTTGCCGAACACCACCTGCAGCCGAAGTCGACAAATTTTTTTTTTTTAAAAATCGCCGTTTCCCTTCGGGCATATTCCCCTCCCGCTGCTCGAGAAGCAACACGGTGGGACGTCAGCACGAGGGGGCATTAGCCCCAACAGACCAGGCCCGTGCCGCGGTACCGGCCTGCTCGCCACCTACTCCGCGTCGCAATCAAGAAAAAGCGCCCGGCCGAATCAGCTCCTGCCAAGGCGTGATCGGATCGCATTCAGAACTCCTCGCTTATATTCGCTTCCGTGGTTTTATTTGTTGACAATTGGCAATTGGCCCAAGTTACCCCCCCTGTCCGGCTCCACCGCAGTTGCCGTAATCTCATCTGGGGAACAGAATGTAACCTGTCAGTTCGAGGCACGCGGCCCGGGTGAGGGAGGGATACTGGGTCTGGGTCGCACTGGCGTGGCTTGCAGGACGTCCCTGGCATGAGTGGTGCCTGCCACCGCCCGAAGAGGGAGGTCCGAAATGGGAAAAAAAAAATAGAAAAGAAAATAGAAAAGAAAGACAAAAGATTGCACCGTAGCATTGCATTCGCACTTGCGGAGAGGGAGCGGAGACCTGGCGGCGGGAGTCCCGTTCGAGCCTGCCCGATCCACCCCCCGGACCCCCGAATGGCTGCAGAATGACCGGACATTATAAGCGCAAACTGCTTGGGCGGCACGGCAAAGGGTCCTCGATCGGGCTCAGGGCTCCTTTTTTTTTCTCTTTAAACCAGTAGGAAGGCCGAAAAATTCAAAGCAGGTAAATGGGTCTCGAAGACGAGAGTGGAAGCGATCGAAATGGGCGGACGCGCAGCTTTCCAATCTCTCCTTCGCCGCGATAGAAACCAGTCACACTAACCATGGATGATTCTACGTCATCGATGATATTCGAATTGTGCAACATGGTCTTTCTGGGAGGGAGGGAGATCGGTTTCCAATACATGCATGGTTGAGAGCGGGAATCCCTCGCGAGGAAGATTTCCAGATGATCGATAGTTGCATCTCGTGACCTGGTAGTCCCCGATCGAAGAATACTCTCTATCCACTATACCCCTCCCGCGGGTCCATTTGGAGTTGGATGCATCTGTATCCCGCAGGCGTTAGATCTGTCACGCTCGTATATCTTCTGGACCTCCCCTACGCTGAAAGCGGCCCTTGACCCGATCGACCTGGCCGCTCGCCACCCGCGTCTTGATCTATTCGGCGCGCGCGTCCGATCTCGGAGATTTCGAACCAAGTCTCATCCAACTGCCAACATGAAGAACTCCCGTGTTGCGGGTTCGTTGCCACGGCGGGGATCTGCCCAGAGCATCGTTGTGAACAGCAGCGCTGTCGGTAAGTCGTCGAACAAGAAACCATCCATCCAGAGAGCCGCCGGCTGATCACCATTGAAGCGGTGGATCAGACTGCAGTTTGCTCCCGCCGTCGCTTCCGAGGACTGGGCCACGTCGGAGACGATCCTGGGGAGACCTGCCTTCGCAGAAGAGCAAGCTGTGCCCGGTCTCGATGTTGGGGCCGGGCCGGGCCGGGCCGGGCCGGGCTGCTTGAATGAGTTGTGTATGAGTGTGATGCCCATGGATAGAATGTACCTTAGGTTGTCAGGGGAAAACAATAAGAAATGGAACGAAAAAATATATATATATACCTGTAAACACAAGCAAAAATCATAAAACGGATAGGTTTACGAGTGAACATTGGAGCCAAGCGAAACGACCCGATTTCCCCCCATTATGAGGTAGGTGTGACCCTCGTCAGCTCTACCACCTCAACTCATCAAACCTCCACAACAAAGATCTCTCTCTGCAAACCCACCCACCGTCCCCGTCCCCCCTTTTTTTTTTGGTTAGTTAGCCACCTAATTATGTCAGTCAGTCTGTGCCCCTGATTTTGAAGCCCCGGACTTGAGAAGCCAAGGCGCGCAGCTAACCAAGGGCGTACGTAGCTTACTCAGCCCAGGACGTCCGTCCTCCCGGTCCTGTTCTCTCTCCGAGCCAGCTAGCCTACCTACCTACCTCTCTCTGCAAAGCGAATACGGTAGGCAGGCAAATAAGGAGAGCAGAGCCGTTCTCGATATCAGGTGTTCCCTCCGCGGTGATCAGATGCGTGTTTGTGAACAGGCCGGAACGAGAATAGCAAGGTCTGGATGGATCTGTACCGACCGACAGGGTAAGAAAATTTCTTCAGATCCAGTCCCATTTCGAAAAAACCACTTACTTGTACTGCGTGTGGGTGTGCGTGTGAGTAAGGTACTGGGGGTAGATCTGGAAAGAAGAAAAGAATAATAACAACGACGAGAACAACAAGGAACTGAGCGAACAGACGAGCGAGCGAACGAACGCACGCATCTGTACATCTATGGAGCCCATCGCGTAGCGTTTTGACCAATGCACTTATCTATTCAGCTGGTATAAACTCGGCTCTCATGCACTCACTCTCACTCACTCACTCACTCAGTCACTCCCACCTTCTAAGCCGCATCTCGCCCAACATGGAATACACGCGCCCGATTCCATTCCACTCCATTCCATTGCTTCTTTGCCATGCCATGCCATGCCCATCTCTCCTGGAGTAAATGCACATCACACATCACACATCACACAAAAGACACACACGACAGACACGCAAGCTCAAGCCGCCGCCGGATCCATCCGCAACGCCTCCTCCGACCCGCTCGCCACCGACCCCTCCTTCTCATCCATCTCGTCATCCGTCGTCACAGCATCGGTGTAACCATAACCGGCACCGTCACCGTCACCGTCACCATCCGTATCGCCCTCCGTGCCCGTCAGATTGCCCTCCCCCTTCAGCAGCAAACTTCGGATATCGTCCTCGCTGATGATACTCTCGATGCTGCCCCGGCGGAACCCCCCGACGCGCGTTTGCCGCCTCCCGCGCTCGATCAGGCGCTCCACCTTCAGCCGGTTCGCGAGGAACTTGAGCTTGGGGAACGCCGACTGCTGGCCCACGTGCAGCATGCGGGAGAGCTGCTTGGGGTCCGGGTCGGAGAGGATCCGCCAGAAGTCGGAGATGATGGAGCGCGGCCAGATGGTGATGGTGCCCGAGAACTGCTGGAGCCAGATCTCGCTCCAGTCCTGCCCCAGCGGTCGTGGTAGGAGCTCCAGGTGGCGGACAACCTTTAACCATTTATTGAGGTCGAGTTTGAGGTACTGCTCGATAGCGCTGCCGACGAATCCGCCACGCCAGCCGCGGCCGCGGCGATGGGTAACAGGCTGGCCGACCGAGCCGCGAGAAGAGAAGAAAAAGAGATTGATGTGCGGGTTTACCTGCGAGACGATGCTGAAGTTGACGTTGAAGTGCAAGTTCAGGGCTTTGAGCGGGATGTCGGTGCGCAGACTGCCGTCTTTCCATTTGTGGCCGAAGGAGTAAGGGGCCAGTGTTCCATCACGGTTCTTCATCATCAAGACGACGGGATTCTGGATCCCTGGGACGGCGGCGGATGCCAGGACTGCGGACCAAATCACGCAGTCTGGCGACGTGAGGTAGTTGGTGAGGATACTGAGTAGTTTTTAGCGAGGAAAAAAAGGGGGTTGAATAGAAGGTTCTTACGTAGGCGAGTGAGGATCAGCCGGGACACAAGAGACGTTCAGTATTCTCCCAGTCCTTTCGTATGCCTCTTTAAAAGTCATGCTCCCTCTGGTGAACCAAGAGCACTTCCTGGCCCAGTCCAAGGAGTCAAATCTAGCACCAGTCTTCCACCATCTGGGAGCCCAAGTAGTAAAGCCATCCGAACAGGCAGTAATTCTTCCAGCAAGAGCCGGGACCAATAGCTTCTTGAGCTCCTCATTTGTCCGGGTTGCGGCCAATGCCGCGATGAGAGCTCCGCCGGACGTTCCAGTTATAACATCCGGCAACAAGTCGGCATCTAATAAGGCTTTGACGACACCAAAATGGTAATAAGCGAAGGACCCTCCTCCAGACAAACATAAAGCCGTCCTTCCATAATTGGTATGCAAGCGCTTGAACAGGGTCCGCTTTTCCTCCGATCCCAGTTCGTTCGTATTGACCAATATGGTGACAGCCTTCTCCACTTTGCAAGTTGTCAGTTACCAGCGGTCCCGTCAACGCCTAGGTCAAGTCTGGGGGTACATACCCTCGTCTACAAACTGCTGGACCAGATTCTTAGTACCGTAATACGTCTGCGAGTACAACCTCGAGTTTTCCACGCCCACGAAATTATTCTTCACACACGCCTCCACCAATGCCTTAAGATCCTCAACCGCATTCTCCGTCCCCGAATCCCCATGCTGCCCTCCATCCTTTCCTGACCCAGCCCCAGAAGCCGAATCACCCCCCTCAATCGTCCTCCTGCATCTCCTCATCTGCTCACACACCCTCCTCACAGTCTTATGATCATAATACGCATATTCTTCGTCAAGCTTCCACCTCTCATTCCCCAGAAACGCATCCAGCTCCTTCGCCTCCCGGACCCAATCCGCATAATTCGTCGTACCCTGCAGCTTCTGCCTCAGCTTCTCCCTCTTCCCCCTCCACGCGACAAAGTGCTCATACAGCCAGATATACAGCCGCGTGAAAATGTAGCTGACGCCGAGGCCAGCCACCCAGGCGCAGACGACGCCGAGCAGCGGCCACTTGAGCAGCGTGTACAGATAGCCCTCTCGCGTCTCGTCGCTGCTCCGGCGCTGATGTTGTTTCCGCCTGCTCTTCCCCTTGCCCTTCTTGGGCCCCTTGCCTTTGCTGCCGCGGACGGGATTCACAGGCGCCCAGTCGTTCTGCGCCGTGATGAACAGGCTCTCTCGCTCTCGCATGCCCTTACTACCGCGGCTGCTGTCCATGCTCCCGCGTCCCATGCTCGGGCTCGGGTATCCACCGTTCAGCCCGCCCGATGACGGCAAGGGGGACAGCAGATCCTCAGTGGAAGGGCTGGGATCCGGGGCGCTGAGCGCGTATGCGAAGGCTTGCAGGTGTTCCTCGGACAGGAAATCGCGGTCGTAGTCTGGGAGGAGGGACTCGTCGTAACCTTCTTCAGAAAGTGGGCTGGGCCCATCGGTGCTGTGTCTGAGGTCTGCCATGGCGGATCTCTATTCTTCTTCCTCGCCCTATTCCTGTTCTTCTTCTTCTTCCTCCCCTTCTTCTTGTCCTTCTTTGTCTCTTCTTATGCTGGATCTGTGACAGTAGTGGGTGCGCTTCGTAAGAGCATCGTGAGCCGGCTGTAAAATGGCACAGTAGGATCGGTAGCTGTGGCAGGTTTGATGCCTGATAGCTGATGATTGCTGGGTGTCTGGAAAGGTGTCTCTTAGTAGGTAATGTCTGAGTCTAAGGTCGTTGCTGGGAGACTACTCCATCTGACGTCGAATCCAGTCGGATGACGTAGGGCCGTGATACTTTGATTTTGAGACTACTTTAGCCGCATTTTTTCAAGAGTGGAAGGGCGCTGCGGACACTCGAGGATTTCATACAGCAATACAGGTAGGTAATGCTTTGTATGTTATGTAGACTATACGTAGAGCGATTTTTGGATGATGAGAGCTCTTGATCTTCGAAGTCTGCAAATTAAGCTTCTATAGCTGCGGATAGGTCAAGCCTCCTTGTTGGTGAGAGAAACCAGGGAACACAACCCTTTTTGAACAGAACCTACATCCTCAAAACAAACCTGAGTGGTTGGCGAATCATGAAGATGCCATGGTGGTGTTGGTCTCAAGAAGCGGAAGCTTCGAGCTGATATTGATCACTCGACTCAAGTCCGCCAAACAAGACAAATTCCCGCTAGGAGTCTCGAGAGAGACTTCTGCAATAGAGAGAATTATTGAATCGCGATACTATGCTGGGTACAAACGAATTCTGGGAACATCTAGGCAACTTGGAAAACTCCAAAGGCTTTCGATCCTTGCCCAAGAGCATAAGAAAAAGACGACCCTGTAAACTCCGCCCATCGTTATGTTCTTTCTCAGAACCACATAGCCTCTCCTCTCACTGGCCCCGCTCCATCCACACGATTAACACCCCATCCCCCCCCCGACACATCTAGACGTATTGAGACAACCATCTAATAGCATCACCGTAACCTATCCCACTCAGTCAGCACTCAGACTCTCCGATTTCCAAGCCGAGGAAATCCAGCGGCACTTACCTTGTCTCATAACAACAGAGCACATGAAAACCTCAACCGGTCTGATGCCCTCGAGCGGAACCTTGCCCTTGCCCGTCGTCTGATATAAGCCCAGCTGGTGTCGCAACTCATCCTCGCTGACCGCGTCCGGGTGGTCGATCTTGTTTCCCAGCACGACGAACGGAACCTTGCCTAGCTCTTCCATGCTCAACAAGGCGTCAAGCTCGGCTTTCGACTCGCAGAGGCGCTCGTGGTCCTTGGCGTCAACTAGGAAGACGATACCGGAGACCTCTGGGAAGTAGTCCTTCCAGAGACGACGCGCTGCTCTTTGTTAGCTGGTGCTGATGCCCGTGTCGGCTGTAGGCATGTGCGGAGTGTACCTTGTTGATGGCCGCCCAAGTCGAAGGTGGTGAATTTCACATTGCCGATGGCGAGTTCTTCAGATGCTGGCATGCTGTTAGTGTACCGCAAGTGCTTGCGCTAATAGCTGTCTGCGGGCAATACTCACTGGGATGAAGCGTAGGTTGGAGGATAGCGACCCGATCATTCTGTACAGCATCCCATTAGCAAACCATTCTCGATGCAAACGAGCCGAGCAGCTATGTGTTCAGAGCGGCATAACTCCCCCTGCCTCTGGTGTATCCCGATCTCGCCCATGACCTACCTTCAGCATATGCAACAGCGTTGTCTTTCCAGCATTATCGAGACCGAGGAAGAGGAGTTTGGCATGCTTGTTCATCAGTCCCAAGGACGCAAGAGTCTCCCAGACTATACAGAGATAAGTGGTCAGCTTGTCAGTTTCCAAGGTGACTTGATCTGGCTAGTTGACGCCATCAGAGCAAGCTACTTACACCAGTTGACGATCCACATCTTTGCTGTATGACTTTGAGAATTCGAGTTTGGAGTGAAATGCACGAAGGGTGTTGCTTTCGTGAGGTTGTTCGGTTGTGGAAGGCTATCGGAGGTTGTCGAAGCTCACGTCAATCTGGCGTCGCCAAGCCTCTAGCGGCGATACTACGAAGGGGAGAGAGAACAACAAGTAATGAGCCTGGTCCGTGCATGCTTGGTCATCGAGGGGCGGGAATATCAAGGTCGTTGTAAACAATCGATGAAAATGCTATTAACCGGTAAAATCGGCATGCTCTTCGTGATATTAATACTAATACACATTGATTGTTTTCTGCCATCTCGTTTACTCACTTTCGAATTTCATCTTGCTCCAGAGCTTTTGACGCCGCGTACTCAGCTCACCCAGTCCATTCGAGGGTGCACGGACCAGGCTCACTCATGACCGGTACTTGTTGTTGTCCCCATCGTGTAGCCCGACATTCAAGGCACCAATCCGTGTTCGTGGAATGATACTACCAGAATCCGTACTCAAAATCCAAACGGTTCCCTGATTCTTTTGTAGTCTACGAGATCTTCACCTTCAAACATGGCGATTCCCTACCAATCACTCTTCCTCACCTACGGAAGATACCCCGGGATTAAATCAAAGTATGATAAGTGCAAGTTCATAGCTCGTGCAAAGCGAGCAGACTTCCTCATCTCGGCTGCGAAAGCTTCTTCTACCGTTAACTCCGGCCCAGCGCCATAGCAATGACAACATCATCTAGCAAAGACGAACGAACACATTTGTTGATGCATGCAATCTAGGTATTCCTCGCTTGCCCAGAGAGAGAGCCAAATATACTCCGCAAAAAAACCTCTCCTCCCTATCCAGGTCCCACATCTAGCAGCCAGAGAGCAAGGAAAGCAAGCAAACCAAAACCTCCATCAACAATCCCCATCAAATCCCCATCAATCCCCATCGATCCTCAACAATCCCCAGACTCACCCTTACATTCCATCCCACTCACTCTCATAAGTCCTTCCTATGTATCCATCCCTCCATCCGTCACTCGACTCCACTTCACTCCACGTCAGTACAAAATCCGCAATGCCAAGCCAAGAACCAAAAGACGTCCAAAACAGCCGGCGGTCTCAGAATTCCCATCAACCCGTCGTCTCCAAACGTAATAAACGAAGGAAGAACAAAACAAAAAAAAGCCTCGCACAATGCTACCTGCGCTATGCAATAATACGAGGACTGAGGGATGCGCCGCCTCCTTTCCTCGAGAACAAGACTCCATGCCGCATATATCCCGCTAATAAGAAGAAAACAAATGAAAGCTGACTAGTCTGTCTGATGCATGCGAAAAATGAGATCCTGCTCGCGAAAATGATGAGAATCGGTTCAATCAATAGGTTGTCAGCTCGCTCGCACGTGGTTTCAATCAGTCAAGCGATCGAGTCGCTGCAACGGAACAAGTTCCCATCCAGGTTCGTTCTCTCAATGTGAGAAGTAAAGCAAGAAAGAATCGATGTAGGAAATAATGGACCTGTATGTACAAAAGTCTACAAAGCCAGCCCACGCAGCGGTGGTAGAAGAGAGTATTTACATCGGGGCAGAAGAAAGTGTATGAGAGGGACGAGTAGAGTGAGCATCAACCACGATGCACAGCTCCAACGCCCGTGTCTCCGAAGATCTCGTCGATAAGTGTCCGACAGTCTAAGCAGACAACATGTAAGGATCCTGTTTACCGCTCTTTGCGGCCATCAAGAGTCCTACTTCCCGCATCCGCTCGGCACCTCTCCCAGGCAGAGGCGGTCTTCGCTCGGACTTATTCTTGCGATTGCATTGTTTTTGCTGGAGTTTATCCTTGCGACGTCGACGTTTCTCCTCCAACCCCTTCACAATATCGATGGCTCCACGCACGTGACCGCTCACATTATCCTTGCCTTCGTTGCCGTTGGCGGCTATCAGACGCGAGGCTCTGTATTGACGGCAGAACGCATTCGGGGTGCGTGGCAGAGACTTGGTGTGTGTGAGTCCAGGACGGGATCCGAGGGGTGCAAATTTGATACCCTTGGCAGAGATTGGTGATGCATCTGGCGATTGAGCATTCTGAGCCAGGGGAGGAGACATTCGCTTGGGGGAGTGCCCGAAGAGCTTCCGCGGAGGTGGTGAGCGAAGACGATGCTTTGGTGGAGGCGGGGAATGAAGTCTTTGCTTCTGAAGCGGCGGCGAGTGCAGTCTCCGAGCTGGTGGCGGTGAGTGAAGTCGCCTTGGGGAAAGACCCGGGGACCTGCGACGTAGAGTTGTGGAACGATGACGGCCATATTGGTCATCGTCCGATTCTTCAAATCTGCCATGCAGCCAGACTGGCTCCTCGCTGTCATGAGCAGTGTCCACCACATCATCGTCGTCCTCTCCGTCCTCTGGATCGGAAGTTGGGAAGCTAGGATCGATGTCCTGGGGTGTCTGCTTGTGTTTGGCATTTCTCCTAGCCTCCATGCAGGACACATAGGCTTCTTCCAGGGGGCGATCCTCGTCCAGAGTACCACATACGAAGTCGGTACTGTCGGGTAGGTCTGGGGTTCCAGGACGGATCTTGATAGGGCGCCGTCTGGGTTTGCGTGCTCCTCTGTCAGGCTCCATGTGATTCAGAGAATCGATTGACGATGTTGAAGCTGTACGGTGAGCCGAAGGACGATAAGCTGCATGTTCCAAGGAATCTCTGCCGGTTGCCCTTTTTCCTGGGGTCCAGAACGAGAACTCCCCCTCGGCATCGCTCTCGTCAGAATCCGCAAATCCGGCTTCGTTGTCGGACTCGTTGCCATCAGATGCATCCTCGTCGGAGTCGTAGGTGGTCTCTTGGTCGTCATCTTCATCCCCGTCGTCGTCGTCGTCGTTTTCGTCGTCAGAACCACTCGCATCGCCTTCATCGATATCCTCCAGATCTTCTTCCTCTTCTTCTTCCTCCTCCTCCTCCAATGCCTCCTCCTCGGCTTCAGTACCGAGCTGGCGAATGGCATTCTCCTTCTTTAAAGTATCGCCAATTGTCAGCTTAGCTCTGGTGGTAATCTCGGCGTCCTTGCTGATCCAGTCATCTTCCTGCAGTTCCTCACTTGCGAACTCGTGGAATCGAGTGGCTTCGGATTTGTTAATGGTAGTTTCGTCGGCGACGATGTATCGTGGCTTGATTCGGATGGCCACTGGACTTCGCGAGGCTCTTCGAGCAGTACCGGTCGAGTCACGGTGAGTGGCACGAGCAGGTAAGGCCTGGCGGGATGATTTCCTCGGAAGCGAAGGCGATCGGCTCGAAGGTCGTCTAGGATTCTCCGAGGGCTTGTTCTGGGAGGCAGGAGTAGGTTCCTCGGCAGCTGCCCTTGGTTGTGGCCCCGAACAGGCGAATTTGATCGTAGACCTCCTCGGCTTTGGTTCTTCAACAACAGCTAGTGTTGAAGTGACGGGTTTCTCCCCCACCTCTTTGAATGCTGCATCTTTCTTCGCGTTACCACCTGCCTCTTTATTTCCGTCGCACATGAACGATATGCATCTCTTCCTTGGTACCTCCACAGCAGGCTGAGCCCTTGGCGAGATGCTAATCACTTCCGACAGAGGAGTATGGCCGATTGTTTTTGTACATGCAGCCATGGGCGCGGGCTTCAAGAGATACGGGGCAAAATTCGTGTAGGTGGTGTTGGGGAACGGAGGACTGGGCGTATTTGTTCGTGCGGGACTTGTAAGACCACCATCGCTCGTGAGCTCTGCGGTCGACGCAATGCTGGCATTGCTCATCATAGATCGCCGACGTGTCAGGTCCTTTGTAATGCTAACAGTGGTTTTGGAGGTCTCGATCTCCTCTGGCGCATGGAATGCCTTCGTCAGAAGAGACTCCTTGCGGGTGCTCTGGGGCCGAACCAGAGACTTTTGGAAGTCGGTATTAGATTGAGGAAGTCGGAGATGATTATCTGGTGGCTCATCGACTTCTGCTGGCACGTCCTCGTCTGCCACGTCTGGAGTGGTGGTGGCGGATTTTTGGCGCCATGTGAAGAAGTCCTGTATCCCCATATCGCGTGTCTGATCGTAATGCTGGTTCATAGTAGAATATGTGAAGGAGCGGGTAGGATTGACCGCGTCCGTGCAGCTGAAGGTGGATCGGTATTATTAAAGTCGAAGTTATAGGTCACAGGCCGGGTTGCGACTGCAAGGGGATGGTCGCGAAGTCGGCGGGACGAAAAAGTGGCCAATTGAACTGAACTGAATTGAATAAAATAAAAGACAGCTGCAGACTCTTAACGGAATCGGAACACGCTGACAACTGAGGCAGCTGTAAGCAGGGTCCAAGGTAGTGGCCGAGTGCGTTCTCAAGACACTGTCGATTGGAAAAACCGGTAGTGTTATCGTCCCTAGGGACCGTATTGCTATAATCTAGACGACATGGTCTGCGTGCCAGAATATCCAAGTGTTACTTCGATGAAGCAGCAGCAGGGCGGACGAGCCGACGTCGACTTTTGATTCGCGATGGGAGAGTAGACAGGATGGAACGATGGCGACGGTTGGAGATGAGGGGGGGGGGGGGGAGAGGTGGAGGTGGAGGAACAAGTGCTTATGCGTAGTGGAGGAAGAGGTGGACTCTTGGAGGAAGAAAAGTCCGAGTGCCAGTAGAAGTGGAAGTGAACGGGCGTTCTGAGGTTGCGAGCACTTCGGAGGCTTTGGGCTGCGGTGGAAGAGCCAAGACCGGCGTTCTGACAAATATCTGATACACGGCGGCCACAAGAATGTTGTGGGCTTGGCAGCGTACGAGGCCGATCGATCTCGGCGATTCTCTTGGCCGCGCCGAGACGGTGTGAAGGAGTTGGAGATTTGTTATTGTTGTTGAAGTTGTTTTTGTCGTTATTGTTGTTGTTATTGTTGTCGTGAAGGGGAGATGGGG